ACCGTTACTCGCTGTTTCCAGTTGCTTAAGTACTCCCTTATCCCTGGAGCACCTTCCCTTTTAATCCTGCCTGTTGCTCCAACTTTTTTAACAGCCTTTTATGGGGTACTGTGTCAAAGGCTTTCTGGCAGTCCAGGAAAATGCAGTCGGCCCACCCTTCTCTTTTCTGCCTAATTTTTGCTGTCTGGTCATAGAATTCTATTAAACCTGTGAGGCACAATTTACCATCTCTGAACCCATGTTGGTGGTGCGTTACAAAGTTATTTCCCTCCAGATGCTCTACGAGCCTTTTCCTCACGATCTTCTCCATCACCTTACATGGTTTACAAGTTAGGGAAACTGGCCTGTAGTTCAGTGCCTCTTGCCTGTCACCCTTCTTGTATATTGGGACTACGTTAGCTGTCTTCCAACTTTCTGGTAGGTCTCCTGTTTCCAGTGACCTGTTATACACCATAGAGAGTGGCACACTTAGGGCTTCTGCCCCTTCCTTTAGTATCCATGGTGAGATTCTGTCAGGCCCAACAGCCTTTGTCACATCCAGCTCCAGCAGACACCTTTTGACCTCATCACTGGTGAGGTCAAATTCCTCCAAGGTTGCTTGGTTTGCCTCCTCCTCATTTAGTGCAGGAGTTTCTCCTTTTTTTTGTGAATACCTCCTGGAATCTCTTGTTGAGTTCTTCACACACCTCCTTGTCATTCTCTGTGTATCTGTTCTCCCCATTTTTTCAATTTCATCACTTGTTCCTTCACTGCTGCTTTCCTCCTGATGTTACTGTGGATCAGCTTTGGTTGGGTAGCTTTTCTCGCGATGTCATTTTCATACTGTCTCTCTGCTTCCCTCCTCACTCTGAGGTATTCATTTCTGGCCCTCTGGTGTCTCTCCCTGTTCTCCGGTTTTCTGTTATTTCTGTAGTTTCTCTGTGTTCTTTTACTCAGTTGCTTCGCTACCTTGCATTCCTGGTTGAACCATTGGTTTTTCTGTTTTTTTCATTTTTCTCCTTTTGGACTGGGATAATCCTGTCTGCAGTTTCCTGGCACTTCTGGGTGACAAAATCCACCATGTCCTGCACATTCTTGTCTCTAAGTTCTATTTCCCATGGTATTCCCCTTAGGAAGTTTCTCATCTTGTCATATTTTCCTCTTCGTTAATTTAGTCTTTTCCCCTCCGATTCCATCCTTGGATAGGTTATCCCTACCTCCACCAAATACTCAAAAGTCAGAACACTGTGGATACTCATTCCTATGGGGGCTTCAACTTTGACTTCCCTTATTTCTGACTCATTCAGGGTGAATATCAAGTCGAGTCTAGCTGGTTCATCATTGCCTCTCACTCTTGTGGGTTCCCTGACATGCTGGCTCAGAAAGTTTCTTTTTGCCACTTCCAAGAGTTTAGCTCTCCATGTATCTGCACCACCATGTGGGTCCTCATTCTCTCTGTTAATCTTTCCATGGTTGAAATCACCCATGATTAAGAGTCTTGAGCCATTCCTGCAGGCAACTGAAGCTGCTCTCTCTATTATATTATTGGTTGCCATGTTGTTCCTATCAAACTCCTGTCTGGGTCTTCTGCCATTAAGGGAAGGGTTGTAAATGACTGCCACTATTATCTTAGGTCCAACCATTGTTATAGTTCCTGTTATGTAATCTCTGAACCCATCACTGACCAGAATTTCCATCTCATCAAAACTCCAGTCCTTATCAGCAGGGCCACTCCTCCACCTCCTCTCCCTTCCCTCTCCTTCCTTACTATATAGTAGTTCTTTGGAAACACAGCATCTGTTATGACTCCTGACAATTTTGTTTCTGTGAGTCCTATTACATCAGGGTTTTCTTCTTGTGCCCTTTCTGCCAGTTCACTTGCTTTATTGGTAATCCCATCAATGTTTGAGTACATTACCTTGAAGCTCACTTTCTTATATCCAATTTCACCCTCACTCCCCACAAGTGTTGAAGTTGTTCCATGGGCATTGCTACCTGGGTAGACTTATCCTCCTGTGAGGTAGTTGCCAGGGGTTCAGGGGGAGGTGGAGTGGGGGATGGAGGGCTTAGGTCTTGCTCAGGCCTGCTTGGGGCAGGAAAAAGTCCTGTGGGTGAGGGAGCAGGGATTGCTTGGGGAGAGGGCACGCCCTCCTGTGGTGGGTGGTGGGACAGGGGGGGGGCTTGGGGGGAGGTGGAGTGGGAGATGGAGGGCTTAGTTCTGGCCTGGGCCTGCCTGGGACAGGAAGAATACCAGGGGCTGGGAAAGCAGGGGATACTCGGGGTAAGGGGAGAGGGAGGATTTGGGTGATATGATGGGCATTGTGCAGGGGCAAGGAAGGGTTTGTGCTGGGGGTTAGGGGGGACCCTATTGGGTGGTGGGCTGGGGTGTTGCAGCCTCCTCTGGGGTTCCCGAGTAGCTGGATTGGGGTTCCCCACTCCCCTCTGGGATTGCTGATTTGGAGGCTGAGGTTCCCTGCCTGGCTCCCATCCCTCTCCCTGCACCTTTTCCTTGCATCTGCTGTCCTTACTATCTCGTCCCTGGTCATGTCCCTCTGAAGATATACCTCTTTGTAATTCCTTGCATATCTCAGTTTTCTCTTCTTTACTAGGATGTCCTCTTCGATGACCTCGCTCTTCGATACTACCTTGATCACTCTCTTTTTGTCTCTGTTGTACTGGCTAATCCGGAAAAACTGTTTTATGTCTCGTTCAGCCCCTTCCATTCCTATCTCCTTTAATATCCCTGACACTGCAGATTTGTCTTTAGTCCTCCAGTCCTCCCTTGTGGAACCCTCACGCTTCTTCACACCTATCATTACTACAGCTCTTTTCCTTTCCATTATCTGGCTCGTGCATCTAGCTGCCTCCTGTGAGGTTACTGCTTTCATTACAACTTCCTTGACTGTGCACATAGCATCTGGGCTCTTCAGTATTTCAGCAAAGGTTGGACCAATTGTAGGGGTCCTGCCATTGCTACATCTCCTGGTACCTGGTGGTTGGTTGCCTGGGCCAGAGTCGGAGGAGGGCCTGTTTTTAGGCGTTTTATCTCCTCTTATGCAGCACTTAGTTCTATCTGCATCTTACATATAGTTTGTCAGGTCCTTCAATTCCCCACTGATTTTTTTCCATGCCTTAGCAATTATCTCCATGTGTGACTCGTCCAGTCCCTCTCCTCCAGCTTTGTACTATTGTCTTACCATCCCGCTTGACCTGTATGTGTACTCACCTAGTTGTACTCACCTAGTTGTGCTTGCGGAGGTTGAGCTCTGGCTCTTTGGTCCCGCCTCTCAACCGTCAATCAACAGGTGTACAGATTCCTGAGCCTATTGGGCTCTATTATATCTACACTTGAAACTGTATATGGAGTCAGCCTCCACCACATCACTTCTTAATGCATTCCATTTGTCAACCACTCTGACACTAAAAAAGATTTTTCTAATATCTCTGTGGCTCATTTGGGTGCTCAGTTTCCACCTGTGTCCCCTTGTGCGTGTGCCCCTTGTGTTAAATAGCCTGTCTTATCTACCCTATCAATTCCCTAGAGAATCTTGTATGTGGTGATCATGTCCCCCCTAACTCTTCTGTCTTCCAGCAAAGTGAGATTTAATTCCCGTAGTCTCTCCTCGTAGCTCATACCTCTCAGCTCGGGTACTAGTCTGGTGGCAAATCTTTGAACCTTTTCCAGTTTAGTCTTATCCTTGACTAGATATGGACTCCATGCTGGGGCTGCATACTCCAGGATTGGCCTGACATATGTGGTATACAAAGTTCTGAATGATTCTTTACACAAGTTTCTGAACGCCGTTCGTATGTTGGCCAGCCTGGCATATGCCGCTGATGTTATCCTCTTGATATGTGCTGCAGGAGACAATGTGCATGTGTGTGTTTGTGTGTGTGTGTTTATTGTGGGGGTGGCACGGTGGGGGGTGGGATTAACTGGTGGAGGGACGGAGGGAGAGGGAGTGAGGGAAAGTGAGTGAGGGGGGAGAGAGGGAGAGCGAGGGGGCGAGGGAGAGCGAGGGAGAGAGGAAGGAGGGCAATCAGGAGGCGTGTGGACAGAAGGTCAGTAACAGGGGTGAGGGGTGAGGTTGGCGGTAGACTGGTTTGTGCGCGCATGTGTGTGTGTGTGTGTGTGTTTACATTAGCGTGTTATGATGAGGGGGTGGCTATGATGTGCATAAACAGCATGACACTCTATTTAAAGTGATATAAGTGTGTCTTGCCATGAAACTGTGAGAGGAGTGTGTGGTCACCAATACCTCAGAAGCGATGCCCTACACCCTCACACAGCCTCAACAACATCACTTCAATACCGGTAGTAAACAACACTACCCACTCTAGCCCAACAAGAGGGTTAAATCTTAGTACAAAAAGATAGAGCTCTATACTTGCATCCTAAAAAAATAAAGGAGGTTGGTGGTGTAGTAACAGGGATATTGGATTTAATATCTTTGAACAACTAGCCCAATTAATTGCAGGTGTGGTTATACCATGAGCTTACAAGCTCACCTCAGTAAATAAATTAGTTACCACTAAAATAAAATTATACTAACTAGGTTAATCAATATTTAACAAATATCTGATTTATTGCAATTGCTTAGGGCAAATTAACGTATACATTTACAATATATAAATTCATAGAAATAGAGAATTAAATAATCTTGTCATTGTTTATAATATAATTCATGTGGCAAGATAACAGATCAAAAGGATAGTCTAAAATAATTTGTAACTGTACCACTGCTAGCTGCATTATACTGTACATATTCTTATTTTTTTACCAATTGGAAAAATGGTAATTTTTCATCAGACGGTAAATAAAAGCAGCACTATTCTTGTTGGATCACCCTGAAACTGAGCCACCTAGGGAACATTGAGAATATATATAGTCTACTATCCCACAAAGAAAACAACAGCTTCCTAGTGGCCACTGTAGACAGCTAAGGGGTTGTAATGTTAATAGTAAGTTCCTTATTTTAGGGATTCAAGAAATTTCCAGTCCCACAACTCTCACATCAATAATGAGGCGGGTAGGTCACTCTCACATCTCTACTGAGGCGAATAGATCCCTCTCACATCACTATTGAGGTGGGTAGGTCACTCTCACATCACTACTGAGGCAGCAGATCACTATCACCTCACTACTGAGGCGGGTAGGACACTCACATTACTACTGAGGCGTGCAGGTCACCCTCACATCACAACTAAGGTTGGCAGGTCTCTCTCACATTACAACGAAGGCTAGCAGGTCACTCTCACATCACAACGAAGGCTAGCAGGTCACTCACACATCACAACAAAGGCTAGCAGGTCACTCACACATCACAACGAAGGCTAGCAGGTCACTGTCACATAACAGCTACCATGTTGACGTCAACAGGTGCGGCAGGCGTCGTGGTGCTTGACGGTGGTCGTCGTGAGCGACGACCTCGCCTTCCTCGCCGCCTTCGCTCACTGGTCCCTCAAGGGCCGCCTCCTGGTGTGGTCGACGAGGCTCCTGGTCGTCACCCGCCTCCACCTCCACCACCTGCAGGGTCTCCTGAGCTCTCACTGGACCTTCTCCATGATGAATGCAATGCTGCTGGTCTTGGGTGACTCGTCACGGTTCCCTAGGTAAAGCATAAAAGAAATAATACTGATTCTCTCCCTGTAAGAGAATGTCAATTTTATGACATCAGAATTTATTCCATTTAATACAAATATGTGAATCATTACATTTTGTTTCCAAAGAACTCTCGTTGGGTCAATATTTTAAACTCCATGATATACTTTTATTTCTCCTACTAGGTTTTGGACTGTAGATTTGCCAGTTATTTCACTGCAATGACCAATTATATGAAAAAATAATTAAAGGAACAAACACAACTTTCTCTTGCTTAGAGCACCTGTCATTCTTTAACTTCAGTTTCTAACAATTGCTCCATAACTGAATTGCTTCATAACAGTAGTGCTAAATGACTGATATACAGTCTCTATTGTTAGAGACTATTTCTAAACAATAGCATTGAGAATTCAGTTATATTAAAGACAACTTCTAATTTCAAATTATATCCCGAAACATAAATATAATAATCTTATTTATAATGTTCATTGATATTTACACTTTGTGATCACGTGGAATGTGTATATATTATACAGTTTGGTTAATATAACCACACACGCAGCAACATAATGACTAAAGTCGGTTCTTTCCATATTTAATCAGGCATTGTGATGTTAGTTTGAGCGTGTATGTGAACCTGCCGTACAGTGCCTCAGGAGCTAGGATAGTGAGGATTGCCTGGTGGACTGCAGCTCGTGGTCTCCAGATCACTACCCATCATCCTCTCTTCCTGGACAAGTTCAATAAGTATGAAGTTTTCCATCAGAAATTACTCAATACGAAATATATTTTGCTCTGGTCCAGTTGTTATATATTTCAAAAGAATAATAATAATATTAATTGTTATTTGCAAGAAGGTACAATAGGTTGGTGTTATTACATAAGACTGGTATTTTTTGCCATGCAAAGTCACTAACACGCATAGCATTTCGGGCTGGTCCTTAATCTAACATATCAGGTAAGATGAAAGGTACATTGTAGCAAGGTCTTATATCAACAAACATCTACAATCTAAGTTGACAGAGGTAATAACACTGGCAAGGATATATGTCTTAAGTACAAATATTGGGGAAGTGGGAGTACAAAAAACAGTCAGAGTTCGAAGCACAAAGTAGGAAACTATGAAGATGAAATTAGGTACTTTTTGGTGTTACTTTTGAACAGGGCATATCTTGGACAATTTTTTAATTCATCAGGGAGTGATGATTCATTCGTCATTCCAATAATGTAAATCATTATTAGTGAAAGATATATTTGAGAAGAGTCCAAGTGTTCAGTCTTGCTCAAGAACTGAGTGTGTGTAAGGGAGACTACGAAAGCTGAGCAATATATTATGACCTCAGGGTTCACCTCTGGGAGCTGGGAGGTGAGCTCGTAATCATAGACAGTATATGCACATTGTGACGCTGTTGGTACCTGCCCCGCCAAACACATGACGAAAGTACAACATTGCTACAAAGTTATAACAAGTTGTAACACCTTCTGACAAGTTGTTACAACTATCTAACACGTCAAAATAAACTTTATAACAAGATGTACCAACCTTGTAGGAAATTGTAAGCAGGTAACAATAGGGATCTTAAATTTTTTTATTTTTTATTTATAAAAAAGAGCATAATAAATACAATAAAAAACTTACAAAAAATAACAAAGAACAGTACAAATGAACAATAAGGATTCCACAGGAACTACAAGTACGGCCCAAAACATAAAGGCAAGAACAGGAATATAACGCAGAGCAACACAAACAGAAATACAAAACAAGCACAAAACATAATATATAAAACATGGCATGTACACAGGAAGCACAAAAGGTATACACAGAATAGCATATAAAGCATTAGGGACAAACCAAGCCAGAAGAGCCTTATATACAATGCAAAAAACCAAGACATACATAAACACAGACCCGGAACACGCAGGAACCGGGAAGAAAAAAACGGCCACACCCACACACACACAAACAGAAACAAACACCGGAACGCACAGGAACCGGGAACCAAGCACAGAACCACACCCAATGCATACATGAAAAATACCGAAACACACAGGAAGCGGCAAAAAGAAACACACGGCACATACGCAAAACAAACACCAAAAGGCACGCGCACACACACAAACACACACACACACACACACACACACACACACACACACACACACACACACACACACACACACACACACACACACACACACACACACACACACACACACACACACACACAAACAGTGCACACACACACACACACACACACACACACACAGCACTCACACACACACACACACACACACACACACACACACACACACACACACACACACACACACACACACACACAGAGGCAACATAAGGACACAACACATACGCTAACCACTCACACCACCAAGGAAGTTCCGAGGGGGGGAGGCTGAAAGACCCCCATCCTGGCACACGCCATCCCAACTAGTACTTATCCGGATACTCCGCCTCCGGAATCCTGACACAGCACGCCTCCCAACAAAGCCACACAGCAGGATAGTCCGCAGGAGGAAACCGCCCTCGAGAGCTTTCCATATCATCTGGAACCCGGGACACAAAGGCATGTATTCGAGGGGACCCAAATAGTAGACGGGCACAGGGGGACCAACGCCACTCGTTCCCACATGAGGGGCAGGTTGTCGACATCCAAAACATCAACAGGCCGAACATCGTAACTAGGCGCGGAAGCACTGGAAGGGGGCGGCAACGCTTCGGGAGCAGGCTTCACAGGGGGGTACACATCAAGGGTAATATCCAGAATACCCACCCTCCCAGGCGCCGGCACTGAACCCCCATGGCGGACATCCTTTTTGAGAACCATTGCAAGGTTCTGAGATGCATCACCCTCTGCAGCATCCTGCACAGGAAGCGGGACCACCCCCCACATTGGGGACCCCACAGCAGGAGGAGGCACAGAGACGCGCACCAGCACCATCAGGAGGCACGAGAACCTCCGCCACTACCTTCGCAGGGGCCCAAACCGCCGCCCGACACCACACCCGTTCCCCACACTACAACATCGCCCTCCACAGAGGAGGAGCCCTCAGAATCTTCAGATTCCCCATATTCACGCACAGCAGCCCACTCATGAGGGAGTGACACTCCCCAAACTGTCCGAGAACGCTTGGTCACAGGTCACTGATCATCGGAACTATCACCTCCAACAGGAGCCAGCGGAAAAGAGCCTCCCCGCCAGCAGCACCACGCCGCGCATGGCGTGGTGCGGCTGGCGGGGATGCGACGATCCCGCAGCACAGCAGACTCGACGACAGAGGGCACAAGTCCACAATTCACAGCTGACACCGAAGACGAGGGTAGGCACCGCGGGAGGAGGCGAGGGAGCCGGTGGAGGCGAGGAAGCCTGCGGTGAGGGTGAGATTGCACGCACCACCACCCCAGCATCCACGTCACCAGCCTCACCCTTTGGCACACAGGCCGATGAACCCGGCAACACCACAAGGGTAGCAGACGGCAGGGAAGGCTCTTCCACCACACCATCACAAGGCGACAGGTCGGGAGCTACCAACGGGGAAAAAAGTCGGAAAAGAAAACAGCCGAAAGCTGAATTTCACAAGCGCTCGATATTTCGTGAGGAGCTGCACCCCACAAACATCCATCACATTCACCCGGAACATATCCAGGATAACCACTTCCATTGCTAGGTACGACGCCCTGCCTGAGAATTCTAGGCCAATCATCTCCGAACAGCGAATAAGGTGAAGGAGGGGGGGGAGGGGGATGTCCCCATGACACCAAGCAAACGGCCAGCGGGTCGCGCCCCCGGTCTGGACACACCAACAGCCGGATCAACATAAGGACCAGGTCGCTACGCACACCCTGACCCGGCACTGGTCAGCCAGCCAATCTGTGATCTGTAAATTGAATGTTTGCGGGGGGCTAGCTTGTCGTCATGTAGTTTCTCGTTCAAATTCGACATGTAACCTCCAACGCCTCCATTATTTCATGTCTGCACCACCTTTAGGTATCTGTGGAAAGGTTTCTGTTCTTATTTTCTAATGAGGTGACATGGACTTCAGTGGTTTTATATTTGTGATTGTTGTATGGACAAGATGAGTTATTAAAGTGAGGTAGTTAGATGTGATATCAAGTTTGGCAGAGTGAAGCTCTAAAAGGGGCATTTTGGATAATAGACAGATGTAAAAGTCGATAATGCGTGCGCCATTGAAACGTCATCATGACGCATTCAACCTTTTAGCTGTAAGAGTCCATTATGTGCAGGAGAACAGATATGTTCCTATGGTAATTGAGGAATACGTCTTGTAGAAGACAAAGTCTGAGCACTATTCAGGTGTGGGCAAGTAGCATGGCACGACGTTTGCTATATTGACAAGCGAGGCATACATACATATATATATATATATATATATATATATATATATATATATATATATATATATATATATATATATATATATATATATATATATATATATATATATATATATATATATATATCCCCAAAGCTGCCCGGCCCCAGGCAGCAGCCAAACTATCCAGCCTCTTGAAAAAGGTCAATGACTCCCCGGAACTATCCAAGCATGGCACAACCTTCTCCTGTTTGGAAACATATGCCTAGCTGTCCCTGCAAGGAGAGACAAATCACTAGCTTCGTCGGTCATTATGGCTATAAATAGTTTTCCTAGAGAGGACAACCAGGCACCCCTCCCCACCCGTGCCAAAAACACCCACGGCAGGAAAGGTATCAACAGCAGAACCGAGGCATCCAAAATCAGAGCAACAGTCAGCAAGAAAATAGAAGAAGGCAACACAATAGGGGCGATCAGAGTCATCACCAGTGAAGACACAGTTGCCACCAGGGATGCCAATACAGCACAAGCCCTGAGGGAAAAACACCCACCCAGAGCTCCTCGTGACGACAGTGTCCCCCTAGTCGGTGTCACCAGAGCAGAACCCCTGTGTGTGCTCGAATCCATGGTGCACAAAGCAGCTTTATCCTTCCCACCAGGATCAGCAGGTGGGTTCACAGGACTACGACCCAACCACATCAAACAAATGCTCAACCCTGCACTGGGAGACATTGCACAGGGCCTCCTGTTGGAACTAACTAGATTCGCCAACACATGTCTAGCTGGCAACATACCAGAGACCATACGGCCTCTCTTTTTTGGCGCTACCCTCTGTGCCCTGAGGAAAAAAGATGGAGGAATCAGACCGATAGCTGTGGGCAATTCACTCCGGCGTCTCGTCGCTAAGGCTGCTGCTAGAGCAGTTAGTCAGGCAACAGCCGACATGCTGAAGTCAAAACAGCTTGGGTTTGGCATTCCCCAAGGGTGTGAGGCAGCGGCTCATGCAGCTAGAGCCTACATTGCCAACATTACGAATGAAAAAGCCCTGATAAAGCTGGACATCAAAAATGCTTTCAATCTGGTTAGAAGGGAGGCAGTACTCAGTGCAGTTCATCGCCTTTTTCCTTCCCTCTACCCGTTTGTAAACTCATGCTACAGCAAGAATCTAACTCTGCTTTTTGGGGAACAAGAAATTGAATCACAAGAAGGTGTCCAATAGGGTGACCCCCTTGCTCCTTTTCTTTTCTGCCTAGTTATCAAGGAAGTCACCAATAACCTGTCCAGTGAGCTCAACATTTGGTTTTTGGACGATGGTACTCTAGCCGGCTCCCCAGCCTCACTCTTGGACGACATAAGAATAGTTCAGGAGCAAGGAGCAAGCCTAGGCCTCACTCTGA